TAAAATTATGATTCTCGGCAACTTGTTCTCGGCATGTTTCTATGCGATCACAAGCCCAAAAGTATCATGAGCTCATGTATTCTTGTGCAGAATTTCGTGCCATTTCCAGAATGTATTCATGAGCGAAAATCCGACAACCGAGCTGAAAGTTATGCCCGTTTTCATCTGCCAGAAAAAATGTTTTCCGCGAATTTTTCATAATTGCTAGGATTCTATGTTTAGTCAATTTTTGTACCTTATTTATGAGATTATGCACGTTTTTACCTAATTTCTAGGATTTGGTATAAATAACAAAACTTTCATTGTATTAGAACTTTTGACAATTTATCATTGAGAGGATATTGTTTTCTTTGTTCTTCCTTGAACAATCAATCGAACATATCAAGATCTAAATTTGTGGCGTTCAAATTATTGGATCGTGGGTTATTCATTGTATAGTCAAGGGATTCAACACATCTTTGTTATCGTTGGATTTTTTGGTTCACTTCGTTGGGTTCAAGTCCAAAATCGGATCTAATTGGCGTTCTTGAGTTCCGCATTAATCTAGTTGTGAGTTTCGTAGTCACCGTTGCTATGACGTTTGCATCAACTACCATAAGTAGCCTTCAGTCAAGGATAAACCTTACTCTGATACCAATTTTAGTGCGAAAGCAAAATTCTTGAAACAAGAATAAAGTAAAATGCTAAAAACTATGTAGGGAATAATTTTATTGTATTGAATTTATTGATTTGAATATTTAGAAAGTACAAAGAATTTGTATATATAAGCAAAATTATTTTCTAATATTATTAAGAAACTAATATAAGAAAACGAAAATAAAATCGTAAACTAAAACAAATTATAAATCTATTCAAATCAATAAAGAAAATAAATCATATTCTAAATAAAAAATAAAAAGATAAAACCTATTACAAGTAGAAAACTTATTATAAATATCTAACTTCTATCCTCTTTATAATAGGATTGTCCTACATCAGATAATTTGCCATGCTTCTGGATATACGCACATGTAAACAATCAAAAAATAGCCTAATACTTTCACATCTCTTTTATAAATTGTCTTCAATTTAACGGATTAAATAATTGTTCTACACGTTGGCTATAGTTGGAGTGGAGATGAAAAGATTTTGTATAAAAGTGCATGGCTTTAAAACCAGTTGAGTTGCCTAAGAAAAGATATCACTTCTTCCACTTACCTAAAACCAGTTGGAATCACAATTAAAACCACTTAATTACTTGTCCTATTCCACAAGGCTATAATTGACACGTTTTCTTATTTTCTTATAAGTTTATCGAATTTTTATTTATCATAATGTGTGTAGGGAAGATCAAATCCACTAACTTATATCAATTGAGATGTTTATCATCTATCTTTTTCCTAAATATAAATAGTAAATGGTGCGGGGCATGTTTAGCCGCCATTAGTTGATGATTATAACATGCTTATCAAAAGTACCCAAATTATCAATAGCCACTTTTCATATTTATAATCATCTTTTTAAAACATTATGATTTTTATTTTTCAAAGGACATTACATAAGACTTACAAATCACACAGTTATAAAGACGAGAATGCCAAGGATTTTTTATCCAAGTTTTAAAAGGCAATTTAACCGATGTTTTAACCTACCTTCATTCTACATCGTGGAGAACAAGGCTAGGAAGAGAGCCAAGGCAAATTACATTACGAAAGTGAAGATTCAAAGTTTAGAATTGAACATCTAAAACAAGAGATTGATACTACTTCTTTCCCGTGCACTTATTTGTTTCAGGTGATGAATTTTCATTTATTTGGTTGTAATTTCATAATACAGATGCTAGGCTAAACATTTTAGCGTTTCAATAAAGATAGAAACCTATTATTTTACTGTTTCAACTCAAATACCTTTTATTTAGTTGATTCATGTTACTTATTAGTATTGCATACTTATTGATTATTTGAATGCTTGATCACCAGTTAGATAATATGTTGTTTATTTTATTTTTGAGAGGTTTGAAATAAACTTAGAATATGTCAACATAAGGTGCAATAAATTTTAGGAATAATAGTTTATGACTTGTACAATCAAGTAGGTAATAGTGCAATTGAATGCTAATACTTCAAAAGGGATATTTCGGGCCATGCTTAGGAATATGCTTAGTTTACATTGGAAGATATAACTGAATAAAATTAGATTATCGATTGTCAATTGACAAAAATTATACTATATAACATAGGCGGAGAATTGAAACACGAGCATAATAGGTGGAGTCAAAATCTTGTAACACTTTCTCATACAAAATACTCGTGTAATTAGATAATCATTCGGATAAGAAATAAAGTAAAAAATAATTAAAAATCTTTTGTTTCGATTACATTCGAACTCGATATCGAATTAGAACAACATAACTTAGATTTATTTCTCGTGGACGATGCTCTTACTCTTTATTTATTATTTGTCAATTATATTGTACTCTTACGGGATTTTACAGAATAGTAAATCGTATGATAAGGATAAAGAGCGAATTTTTTTGTGTTAATCGTCACTTTCCAGTCATAAAATAAGCTAAGCTAAAGTGTGGCCAATATTAGTTGACAAAATCGATACGAGTAGTCAAATCATAGTTTTCCTCGTCCTCTCTTTATTCAATTGTTTACATTTCGAACATTATTTGGGTTGGCGCACTATTCATAATAGAATAGCCAAGTTTAGTATTATTTTAATTTAGATGACGTGAACATACAAATCACTTGCAAATAAATAACAACAAAATATGTATCCATGACATGGTAACAAAATTTATACTGGACCAAGAACACTATTTACTGAGTCAGTTTTCATTTCCATTTATTTATAAATTAAATTATTTATTAATTATTTTTGAATGAGAGATAAAATAATTTAAAAAGTGAAGTAAAATCTCAAATGCATGCAAGAATCAGATCGACATGCTCGTTGAAAAATTAGTTGCAGACACTATTGCATAATAATAAAATGTAGAAATAAAATTTATCGAATGATCGAGAGTAATGATAGCACGATATTCTATAGTGAAAATTTTCATATTAACCTGCTGCAGCTTTTTTGGACAATCATGCCCAGAATACAACGATTAAATCATTTGTTCAATTACAAGGGATTTCTAGAGCTCTCAAATTTTCTCTAGAACAAAACATGCTAAAATAATTCTTAAACCGTTTGTTGTAAGAGCAAAATGATTTTAGTGTGTTTTTCCAAAGAAAATAAGTTATATATAATAAAAAAAATTATAACTTCCACCAATAGTAAGTTATAATTTTGTTTTTTTAAAAAAAGGTAATTGTGATTTTTATGATTTTAATAAATCATCGAGTAACTTTCTAACTGCTATATTTTACTAACTAATTTGACCAAAAAAAACTAGAAAATAATTAAAATAATAAGAAAAATTAATTTAAAAAGTTCAAAGTCCCAATGTCCAATCATAGAATTTTTAATATTCACGTGCAATGCGATTCTAACCATCGACCTCCCACATAAATTTCATATTTTTTACCACTCGATCGTTTATCCCACGTAACAGTGCTCACTTCTGCTTTTTGCCAATTTATATAGTTGAATTTCTCGTCCAATATAATTTTAATGTGATCCGTTTGTGGAGTGTGAATCCACTCCACAGCCGTCGAGGTTTTGTCCATGGCTCTAAAGAAATTGCATTTATAGCCGCTGAAATGGTAAATAGAGATAATATATTTGAACCAATAACAAGTCAAATTCATGCAAACCAAATGCTAATCTCAATTATGCTTATCCAAAATCATCCCAATTGAAAAGGTAGATACTATAAATTTGATGCCTGCCTTGAGTATCAGCATTCATTGAGTTTTTGCTAATGGGGTTTCCTTTTCCAGTTCTAGTCATGGCAATAATAGTTCTATGCAAACAAATAAGTCTTGTCCATGGCGATATAGGCACTGCGACATCGCATGATCCTCCATACACGCGTAAGCATATGCCCACAACTTTGCAATAATTTGCATTACTCGACAGTACAATGAACATCATCTATGTTTTTATGTTTTCATTTTTTCCCTTTTGTGCAGCTACCAAGTGCCACGGCAATAGACAGGACCAATTCCCACCAGGAAATCTGTTTGTTGCAGTGAATGAAGGATTGTGGGATAATGGGGCCTCATGTGGCAGGCGTTACAGATTAAGATGCTTGAGCGGAAATAATAGGCCGTGCAAGGAGGGTACCATAGACGTCATAGTGGTGGATTTTTGCTCGAAAAGGCCATGTCCATCGACCATGGTCTTGTCTAACGATGCTTTCGAAGCTGTTTCGCATTCTCACAATGCTAAAATAAACATTGAATACATCCAGTACACTCCCTTTCATCCTTCTTCTCTTGTTTTCATCTTCTCCTTCCTTTTTACATACTAATGATGAATTCTACTTCTTTTGCAGGGTTTAATATGCATCAGCACGTGCAGAGTTCAGCTATTTATTGTGAACATCAGCTACATAATAGGAAAATTTCTAACCTATACAATAAAGATGTCGAGTACTCTAATTGTATTGCTCTCCAATAATTACTTCTCTTATTCTCTCTATTTTCTATCAAGAATATTTCCAACTTTAATTATATAACCATGCAAAACAACAATTAGTATTAACAAGTTTGTAGTTCAATCAAGGAGATTGAACCGGCTTTTGTTTACTTGTCCATCCTACAGACAATAACTATGAATACGATCACTAGAAGAAGAAAAATGGATAAACCAACAACAAGTGTTTATACTTTAAAAATGACTTCATCCAGCACTTTTGTACCGTGCCTTTACAACTTCACAAAGCATTTCAGTCAGTCGAAAAAGTCACGCATTGCTTAAAATTCAAAGATAGGAAGAGACTGATAAGTGTATTTTAGAGTATAAACACTTGTTGAAAACTCAATTGTTGAACGAGGAATCAAAAAAAAGAAGCGAAAAATGGTGAAAAATAGCAAAATTCAAAGTTTAAGGACCAAATTGTGAATATTCAATAGTTGATTCGGACACAAGAAGATATTTTGAAGATTTTTAGGAGACAATTTGATGAAATTAGAACTCAAAAGGGAATGGAATATGGTCAAAACATTACCAAAATCAATTTTCAATCATACAAGTTATATTTCAAATTTTTAGCCTAATATTAAGACCCATTTTTGGCATAGTAAACGTTCGAATTTGAAATATTTTAATTTACGAAAGTTGTATCCCTTTGAGCTAGCTTTCTAACACACTTTGAATCGCCTCAATCGGATATTTGGAGATAAAGTTATGTCCAAAATAATGACTGCTATGCGTAGAGCGAATACAACTTTTCTTATTCGATTGAAACTCTTTTGTAAATCAATTTGGACGTGATTTTCAACCAATTTTCTACTCTTACGAATACCTAACAACAGAATACATATTAGAGGCCTCTCATATACATCTCATACTCCAATACTCATCAATTATTATCAACAAAGAAGAAAAAATCATAATTTTTGTGAGAGAATTGAAGGGGACGTGCAAGAATTCAATCAAATAAAGATTCAAATTTGATTTTTGGGCAAAGAAGAAACCATTGAAGAGATTCAAGATTTCAAGATTCATCTTCTTAATTTATAAATAATTCGTGTTATGTCTTTTTACTTAAATATGATTTCTTGTAATTTCGATATATTATGCTAGTTTTATACATTGGTAGGATGAGATGAACCCTTATTTTGAAATTTTTAATATTAATTAATTATTTTGACGACTAGTATATTTATTTTCTTTAATGTTTATTATTGTTTTTACCGATTTTTCAATTAATTAGCTACTAATTGAGATGATTTATTGGAATATATTATTATCGAGAGAGATAATATGTTTTTAGTTAAAAATAATAAACATTGCAAAGTTCAATAGAGTATAGAGATATACATTCATGCTTTACTTGGTTTCCATAAGTGTTCTAGATTGTTTAATGCATCTATTATGTTTGCATCTTTCATTGAGATATGTGAGGATCACATGAGGGGAATATATTTGATAACTATCGAGATAGGTTTTCAATTAAATTAGGAATGCTGACAACAAGAATGATTACAAATTATCACTTTAATTCGTTGTGCTAAAAATGGATTAGTAAGAGGGATTCGACATCTTAGCAATACTTTTATTTATTTGAAATCAAGACGTTAAATTGCTTTCTAATTTAATTAATAATTTAGATATTAGAATAGAAAATTTAAAACATATTTGTTATTCGATTAAGGTTGCTATTATTGAACTCGATTGAATACTTAAGCCGTGTTCTCTTTACCATTTTCAAACCGTTTCTTATTTTCGATTTCTCAAAACAATGAAAATGAGTTCTCTTTCTCATTTTCAAAAGAATAATTTTCAAAATGCTAAAAAGAACACATTTTTAAAAATTTCAAAATAGACACCCAAAACACAAAACTCAAAATGAATTCAAAACACAAAACTCAAATACAAAGAGAACATTCCCTTAGTTCTCGTGAGTTCGACACTCTATACACTACTATGTTACTTGTTCACGATCACGCTCACTTGCAAAAAATCAAACGATCACAAACCTTCAGAAGGGATACGCCAAATCAAATAAATTACCTGCAGGATGGTTTAGCATTAACAAACTCTGGCCATCTGGCCATTTATGCAAGGATGAAGAGGGAGACACCACCCTTGATAAAAAAAATTTCTGCATCATGCACGATAAAAGTGATCAAAACTAGGCACATTATGTTATGATATCAGCTAGGCCACACCATCCAATCTTCAAAAAAATTTGTACCGTAGGCAGTGGAATTCACTGGATGTCTATTTAAAGAATCAGATGGAACACGAATACTATTTTGGCCAAGTCTAATAAGTGTGTAAAAACACACTTCTTGTTGGGAATTTAGTTGTACGGGGAATTTAAAATGATTTCAACTCCCTTCAAGGATACATCTACTTCGTATTTAGATAGAATCATGATTAGAATTATATCTTTAACAAATTTTTCAAACTCTTTCGAGAATCTTGATCAAGAATAATAACGGTATTTGCAATCCTTTGTGAATCACGTCTTTCTAAACACAATTGTCCAATTGCATAGCTTTCAATGCTAATCCACGCAAGAGAACAAAAATGAGATATTAAGATTTCTCTTTCTTGTGTTAACAAGATTATGATATTGTGAGAGGTGTTATGATTTCTCAAATCCTAACTATGTATAAATAGATGTTTAAATGGACTTAACCAACCAACTAAACATAAGCTGGCCCAATATTTAATTAATTAAATTTGGCTCATAGTTAATTAATTCAATCAATTAACTAAAGTCCATTAATAAAAAATTCAATTACTTTATTCTACAAATTTTCAATACTTATCAATTAATTAATTTATAATATTATTCTTATAGTTTTCCCCTTTTCATGTGACTAATTAGGTTGCTGATCAAGATGTCAGACGACGTGAATTATTATTTTGATCTAATAAAAATAAGATAAATAAAAATTCCATTTTAATTTATCATTAATTCATCTAAATTAATTAATTCACAGTCGCCATCTCATATTGATATTTAGCAATGTGTAGGGGCAATACATGTGATGAAAAATATCATGTGATGTGGCAAAATCAAACTTGTTCATTTACCGTAAAACTATAATCTATTTGTCAATATAATCCGATTAATTACGAGATATGACAGTGTATCAACTTTGATTATCAATCATATCTTTCATCTCACTTTTAAATTAACAAAAGACGAAACTCTTTTCAATTTATGTACTAACCTTGGCCAAGGGTTTCGATATCGACTTAAATCAAATGAAACGTACATCATAATCTCTTACTACCTAAGAGTGATGAATCATTTATTAATCATTTACAATCTTCATATGACTCTTGACATACCCAAACGATGTCAGATTAGCGATTGTTGACAGAGCAACATCCGACATTACCAATGTATGACTCTCCTTATATAAAATATTGTAATGATCTTGAGTCGAATGACTAATTCAACTACCAAGCGTTAGAGATTAAACACTTGCGCTCAAATTGTCATCCATGTAGAATCTCTCCATTAGTTATCCAATATTTTGCTCTCTTAACAAAACAACAACGCGCTCATTTAAATGTTATTACATTTTTACTTGTAAGATCAGTTGCTCACTTTATAAATGAGAAATGTCACATTTTAGCTTGTGGTGATCTATCCGTAATAACGATATTCGTATCTCGTTATTATTTAAGATCGTGAGTAATTTAGGATTCAGTTATATATAATTTATTTATCACAATCACAACTCTTCATAATTAACAAGTTACCAAGACTTGAATTATAGACTCTATTAATTTAATTTATCTGATTAGTAATTAATTAAATAATAGACTTGTTATAAAAAAATGGATAATTGTAGCAAAAGCCTCAAACATTTGAAACACTAAGGGTCCGTTTGATAGTAAGGGTGGAAAATGGGTGGAAAAAAAATGTTTTACATGGGAAATATTTTCCTAGAAATTGTTTTCCAGGGAATTGTTAATTAAATGTCTTTGATTGGTATAATTTTCCACCCGAGAAATTTTTAAATTTTGTGTTCGTTTGGCTTTATTTTACATGAAAATTGTTCATTAAAGTGATATTTTTTTCCACAATTAGTTATATAATTTGTTTCCATTGCTAAAAAATTCAAAAAAACAAAAAAAAAATTGTTTCCTAAAAAATCATTTTTTTATCAAAATTTAGTATTCGTTTGGCCTTCGTTTACATCAAAATTATCCATGAAAGTGAATTTTTTTTTACACTTGGTTATGAAATTTGTTTTCATTGCAAAAAAAAAAAAGGGACAGAACTGGGAATTAATTTTCCCATATAAAAGGCAAGAATATCTTTTCCTCCCACGCATGGAATGTGGCGCGCAGAAGGGAAAAAAATTTCAGATTTTCCANGGGTAGATGGAAATAAAAAGTCAGATTTTCCATGCTCCCTTTTTGCCATCAAACACCACTAAATATGGAATCTTGGAAAATATTTTCTTTTTCCTCCAACTTTCCATGCTATCAAACATGGCCTAATACACTTTCCCCAAACCTTTCAGTCATTGCATCTGTCGACCTTAACATTTCTAACCGCTGCATGTAAGGTACTTTTGGACGGTTTCCATCCAAGAAGTCGACAGTTGACCACCAAAATTGAAATTGACTGCTTTTTTTAAATTTCAAAAGGGTAAAATAGTAATCTTATATTCATTGCATCAAATAATTAAAATAATTACATTAAAAAACTACAAAAAATAATAAAAGGAAAAAGGTGTATCTCCTTCTTCTTCGTCCTCCTCCCACCCCATCCCCAACCCCTTCCTAAAATCATAAAATTGGCCAAACAACCACCTCAAATCACCCTCAAAACATCACCAACGCCCCAATCATAAATTATCGATGACCACGATTAGTGGTGATGATGGTTCGTATTTGCAGCCGAGGAACAGCGACTGGTGAAGCTTTCACCCCAAATCGAAGCCTCTGTCCCCAATTAAAACAGTTATGTGGAACAATCC